TATCACATCAAATTTTATACCTCTGAATTATTTCAAGCCCCTCCCCCCACCCCCTCAGATGACCAAATAAAACCTTAAACAAGCAAATTCATCCCCCCCTCCCCCAAATAAAATAATAAAAAAATGAAATGTGGGATGACAAATAAAACCTTAAACAAGCAAATCCATTGCTTCAATTCATTATTAGACAACTCTAAAAGAGTTTCTCGGGTGTGTTTGTTTGGGGTTTTGGATTTTGACTTGGAATTTGAATAGTAAAAATTTTGAATTTAAATAGTTGTACGATGTGATATAAGTAGGTGTTGATGTGATGTTTTGAATGTAAAATTGATTTTTAGTATAATATAAAAAATAAAAAAATAGGTGTTTGATTTGATGTTTTTTGGAGAAAAAATTTGTTTAAATAGCGGAAGTTTAAGAAAGTCTCCCAAACAAACATATTTACATTATTCTCAATTTAAGAAATATATATTCATATTTTTATTAAATGTTTTTTTAAAACAATATATATTATCTTTTACATAAAATATTAAATAATATCTATTTTTAAAATTTTATAATTATTAATAACAGAAGGAATTTATTAACCTAAAGCTATTTCTATTTTTATATTAATGTGTAACTACTTCAAGAATGGTAATGTGTAGTTATCATTTGAAATAAATTAATTAAGCTGAATTGACCTTCGTGGTTGGTGGAAATTAATACCAACTCTATTCCATTTTGTTACTTACTTTTACTTTTTAGCCCAACATATCTAATAATATGCTCCAATGCCTTAAATTCATTATTTTTAAATTTACTTGTCATTTTGTTGAGTGTAAAGTATAATCTAGTTCCATAGTTTATTTTGATTGTTGGTGTATTTTTATAATTACATAGATTCGATTTCAGATATTATAAATACATATTATAATGTAACGCTACCTGTGTCGTATTTTAAAAATTTAATAAGATTATTTTTCTGTAAATGTAGCCGGCGTTCCTCGTTAGTGAACTACATCTATCGATCGATTCTTTTCGTTTGCTATTATATTTATTGCATTCGTCACAATATAGTATAATTTAATATTTTTTAATTCAAGATAATTTTATAAATTGTATTTAAAAAAAAAAGGAGGACTTATATGTGAATAAAGAAACGTTACAAATATATATGGGAAAAAAATCACGTGGAATTGAAAAGAAAACCAATCGTGTTGTTTTGAATTAAGTTGTGTTACTGTGCTAAGGGGAAAAAATAAGACAGTATATTGTAAACATAATGTTGTGATAAATTATGATTAATGATCGATTAACAAAAAGAAATGTAAAAAATACGTATATTTGTTTGGTTCACCAACAACGTGTTTATTATATTCACGGACAGAAACGGAACATATTTATTGAGGACGGCCACGTTACATATTATAAATTTCGTATCTCTAAATCTATTGAAATAAACTAAGAGAATACATCAAACGAGTTCAGCCAAATACCAACTTCAAAACTCAATACTGCATACCGTCGGGTTGAGGGCCACTCCGCGCTCCCGGACCTTAGGAAGGGGGACTTCGCCCCCTTGACCCCCAACTCGCAGACCAGACAGTGAGACACCCGTAAAAATAGTTTTTATTTGTGATTTTTTTTTATATATAAATAATAGTATTATAAAATTTTTATTTTTATTTTAATATTATATTTAAAATATTATATAATATATATTTATATTAAATTAAATAATTTTATTATTCAAAACTAAACTAAGGACGCCAAACAAACAAATGTTTAATTAGCTTCATTCTAAAATAATTGGATACAAATACATGCATCTATTTTTGTCCTAACATATATTTATATATATATATTCGTCATATTTTGACAGTCAGCAAGTTGAACATGTAAGGTATTATTATTTTATTTTATTGTGTTATTTTCTCCTATATGGACATAATTATCATTGATCACAAAATATATTATAATATATTTTACCAAATAAAATTCTAAACTTCAGTTAATAATAAGAATTAATAGAGATAATACTTTTAAAAAATAATAAGAATAAATAAAATAAATAAATAATCACAACTGGATTTCATTAGAGATAAAATAATTATAATAAATTAGACCACAAATAATATATTATCTCTATCCCAAAAAAGACCGTCACCTTTGTATGATTTGTCTGTTTCAACTTTCAATCAACATTTTTACTAATAGGCTCATAAATTTTTCAACAATATTTTATTAAATAAATTTATATTTATATTTGATTTTATCCTAATTATTTAAATTTGAGTATATCGAGTCACTACTTATTTTATTTTGATGATCAATAATACAATCTCATTATTTTATTCCAAAAATTCCAACACAAATCAAACAAACACTATATTTTAATTTAAAGGTTCTCTTCTAATATTCTTTTCTTATTATGCAACTTTTATGATTTTTTTGACAAAATCATAGTATAAATTTTCTAACAAAGTATATTAATCCTTATTAAAAGTAAAACTATAAATCAATATATATAATCAAAAGTTAAAATTACTTTTCAACAAGAAATTTAAACTTTTTATAGAAATATATATCTAATTAGAGAAAATTTATCAGAACTGAAATTGAAATTTCAATAGAAAAATAAAATGAACTTAATCAAAAGAAAACTTTAAAAAATAATAGTAAAACTATTCAATTGTATTGGAACAGCAAATTGTTACTTTGAACCCAAAATAATAATATAGACTATGGGTGTTTTTTTATTTTTTTTATTTTACAACATATTTTTACTATTTAGATTCTATTTTCTCTCTAAAAATATCACATTAAATAATTATTATTTTTATATTATACTGTAATTTTATTTTATATTTAAAACTAGACTCGTTCCTCACATCTCGAGGGACGGGGCAAAACCTAAAATAATGGCCCTAACAAGTATTTGTTTAAAAGTTCTCTATCAGTTTTGGAACAAAAAAATTTAAAAACAAAAAATCCAATTATAAAAAATTCATCAACTTGACATTTGAAATCATATCATCAAATTCATTGGACTTATATATTTCTTTCATATTTAGCTTAATCACCACTTTTAGGACATCTCCAACCACACTTCAAAATTGAGGTTTCAACTGCATTTATGCCGTGGCCATGCTCCAATCGAACGCCAATTTCAACACTATTTTTTGTGTTTGCTTTGCACGGTAGCAAACGTCATTTATGGTGTGTTTGTCTTTTTTTTTTTAACTTTTAAAATTATAAGTTTGATTTTTAAATTTAAAATTTTATTTTTTTAAATTTTTTTAAATTTTATTTTAAATTATAAAAATAAAAAGTTGTTTAAATAATATGAAAATTTAAATATTTGAAGAATAATAGTGAAAAATGGAGTTATGGTTAGAGTAAAATTACTGTAGCAATTGCATATTTGAAGTTAAAACTGGATAAATGAAATTGATGAGTTGGAGATGGCCTTATTGCTAAACTTTATTACAAGAACTATTTCCTCCGTATACCTACAAAATATAAATAAAAATACATAATGTATTACATAAAATTTACCACCTAGCATTTCTAGATGCAAAATTGTTAATAATATTGTCAACTACCACAGTTTATAACATTTCTTTTCAATAAATAGCATGCGTAAATCATTCAATCTTTCTTTAAACATAGTTATCTTCAAATAAATTTTTAATAATATTAACTTAAAGAAATTTCTTTTAACATATAATTGTTTAAATCTCCCGTAAAATGATGCAATAAACATATCTATACACTAACTAGAAAATAATTAATTTTAAATTATTTTATGTCAGATTGTATTATACTTTCATTCTTATTTTCATATCTAACTCTCACAATTTTTTTTTTTTTTTTTTTATTCTATATATATATTCCTTTAATATAGTATACATCCGCTAAAAGCCCTAGAATTTTGGGTTCTCTCCTGGATTGGACTTTGGACGGTTGCCCTTATGCTCAGTCCCAAAGAGGCGATTTTGTTTAAAACATCACATCAATTTATATTTATCACATCAAATAACTATTCAAATTTCATTTTATACAGTTAAAAAATTTTAACCCAAAAATTAAAATCAACGAACAAACATTCCCATAGGTTTTCAATAATTCAATTTGAAACGTTATGCTTTTCAAGTCAAAACAGTCAGTCGAAAGAATTAAAAAATTCAATCATATTGGAAAAAAATATTGTTATACACTTTGGCTACAACAGACAACAGTAGGTAGTCAAATATGTACACTTTAATATATTCGGTGAGGGATGTATGCAGACCACACCTTCTTTCCCCAGTCCATCCCTATTTTATTTGCCAATTTTTTATTTATTTTAATATATCTATTATATATTACAAAAAAATAAATAAATAAACAGAAATAACAATAATCATGATAATAATAATAAGAATTTTAAGCATGGAGTTTTTTTTTTAATGAGAAATTGTACTGTTTTTATATGAAAAGATATAAAAATAAAATAGAACATGAGGAGTATAATTTTAATTCAATAAAAGGATTATTTGTGGAGGATCTTTTTGTAAGTTATTAATTTTCTTGATCAGTAGAATTATAAATTTATTTTTTATTTTAATATATTATGAAAATTATTTAAAATATAGTGATATAAATACATGTTCCTATTAAGTAAACAATATATATAAATATATATATATTTTTTTTTTTTATTCCGCAGCCGTATGTCCAAATCGAAAATTGAAAGCAGCGCATTTGTTGATTTCAGCTGTACTTATTGCAGGTCAGAAACGGCGCTCAACATATGCATATTTGAATAAATTAAGAATATATTAAAAATAATAATAATGATAAAAAAGAATAATCTCTAACGCACATATATCAAGACAACATAGCTGGACTTGTTTGTCTACGTATATACTCCTATTATTCATTAAAAATATTATATTAAAATAATAATAATAATAATAATAATTAGAAAACAACAGTACAAAAACTATTCCCCCCTCTATAAAAACAGCAAATCAATTGATTCGTAAAACCTAAACAAAACAAATCAAATTAAACACAAGAAGAGCATTACGACAATGGAGGAGATCCAGAAAGTTGTTCAACTCCTCGAATTCCCTTCTCTGCCTCTTCTCCTTGCCACGTTAGCCTTCATCTTCTTCCTGGTGAAAAGATCATCCGCAAAATCGAGCCAGAAAAATGTGAAATTACCTCCAGGCCCTCCAAAGCTGCCGGTGATCGGACACCTCCACCACATGGTCGGCGAGCTGCCGCACCGCCTGCTGACTCGGATGGCCCGGCAGTACGGACCGGTGATCCATCTCAAGCTGGGAGAAATATCAACGGTGGTGATTTCATCTCGGGAGGCAGCCAAGGAGGTCCTGAAGGTCCAGGACCCAGCCTGCGCAGACAGACCCGACAGCATCGGGACCAAGATCCTGTGGAAAGGCGACTTCATATTCAGTCAGTACAACGAGTTCTGGCGGCAGATGAAGAAAGTCGCGACGGTGGAGATGCTGAGCATAAAAAACGTTAGATCGTACGAATACATCCGCCAGGAGGAGGCGGCGCGTCTGGTGGCGACGGTACGGACGGCGGCGGGAGAGGCGATGGACCTGACGGAAAAGATGTACGCCTACTCGTCGGCGATGACGTGTCGGGCGGCGCTGGGGACGGTGGCGAAGAACAACAGCGCCGTCCTGGTGGAGCTGATGAAAACGGCGAATCCGATGGCGGCGGGATTCGAATTGGCCGACTTATTTCCTTCCTCGAAGCTCCTAAACATTCTCTGTCTGAACAAATACAAACTCATGTGGATGCGCCGGAAGCTCGACAAGGTTCTCGACGCCGTCGTAGAGGAGCACAAGCTCGGCCGGAGCGGCGAGTTCGGCGGCGAGGACACCGTCGACGTCTTGCTCCGGCTAACCACCGACCCTCGTCTCCAGAACATTCTCACCCTCGACGGCATTAAAGGCGTCATCTTCGTAAGCATCTGGCATTTATTACTTACATTTATGACTGCGGTGGAGACTAAACTGTTTTCGACTGTGGTAATTAATAACTGTATTTATGTATAGGATTTGTTTACGGCGGGGACAGAAACATCGTCGACGACGATGAACTGGGCGATGACGGAGCTAATGAGGAGTCCACGTGTAATGGCGAAGTTACAGTCGGAGATAAGAGAATCCTTAAAAGGGAAGACGACGGTGGAAGATTCGTACCTACAGAGTCTGCCATACCTAAGCCGTGTAATAAAAGAAACCCTAAGGCTACACCCGCCGGTGCCGTTATTACCGAGGGCTTGCCGGACGGAGGACTGCACGGCGGCGGGGTACACGATTCCGAAGAACGCGAAGGTGGTGGTCAACGCGTGGTCAATGGGGAGGGATCCGAAGTACTGGGACCGGCCGGACGAGTTCAGACCGGAGCGGTTCGAGAATAACTCGGTCGACTTTTTGGGGAACGACATGGAACTGATACCGTTTGGGGCGGGGAGAAGGCTTTGTCCTGGGATGAACTTCGGAGTGGCTAACGTTGTTCTGCCATTGTCGCAGCTGCTGTATCATTTTGACTGGAAGTTGCCGGAGGGGAAGAGTTTGGATGACGTGGATCTGCTTGAGGTTGAGGGGCTGGTGATGATGAAGAAGAATCCTCTGATATTAGTGCCCACACCCTACAAGGAAGAATAATTAATTAATTAATAATGCCAAATTAATTCACACTTATTAGCGTTATTGTTGCCTATATATATATATTTATGTGTAAGATTTGTTTTGTAATTGAATAATGATAATTTGTATGGGGAATTTTCTCTTTTTTTTTTCTTTTTTTTTTGGTTTAAATTAAGGTTCCTCTTTAGTCTTATAATTTGCTAATGTTCTTGAGTATTTTAGCCACTAATTATTAATAGGATGATTTTTTGAAAATTATCATGTCAATTACTTATAAATCATTATATATATTCACTATATATTTATACTATCACTTCCGTTTAGACTACGGTGTCTTTTTTACTATAGATATGAAAATTTAAAAATATATAATTAAGTAAATAATAATAAAATAAAAATAAATAAATTGATATATTGAATAATAATATAATAAAAATTATAAAATTAAAAATATGAATATACAATATAGTAATATTATATATGTTACAATAATTCTATATTGTTAATAATTATATACTACTATTATTTATAAATATACCTATATTTTATAAAAATATATTATATATGTAAAAATTTATGTTTACATGAGTTTATATAATTATATAAATTAATTAAAAAATTATTTTACAATTTTACAAAATTCAAATAAATTTAGTAAAAATAAATCAAATCGAATCTATTCAAATTAATTAATAAAATCCATCAAACGATGTGGACTTTTTAAGTCGATGTAAATCTATAAATTTTTTAAAAAAAATAAAATAAAATAAAATCACTTCACCCTCTTTAATTTCAATAATTTTTCTATTTTTTTGTTAGTTGGTTTCGTACAACTAATGGGCATAAAATGAATGATAGTGAATATGGTTCAATTTTTGTTTATTCCAATAATACCCTTCTTCCACACATACATGATATATTCATAATTTTTTTTATTTAACATTAATTTTCTATCCAAATTTATTTTAGCCAAATAAAAAATTCATAGAACATCAAGTGAAAATCAAAGATCTGTTCTGTTGAGGGAGAGATTAAAGGATCAATACAACCTAAATTACAACTGATCACGATTGAAATCCTTTCAATTTTGAAGAAACGGTGAGTCGAATTTTCCTTTTAGGGTTTTATTTTCGGTGTTTTGAATCTTCAATTGACCAGCGTTAAGTTGTTGTAATTTGGGTATTTTGTTAAACTTCGAGTCTTCCATGCGTCTGAAACAGAATCCGTATGTTATTTTGCTTGAATTTCGGTTGCGCTAGATGTTTTTGGCAGTAAAGCTTGTGTTGCCCTTTTTGCCCCTTTTTTAGGTTTTAATTTGGTTTCAAATTACTATCGGATTTACAAATCAAGCTTGAACAGCTCTTTTTGATGTTATAAATCTGTTTATGCTTTAGATTTTCAAAAATACTAACAATCAGTTCGAGATTTTGTTATTGCTCAGTGTATTTATTTGATTATGAAAACTGTAAGATCAGAATTGGTTTCAATTTAGTGTTATGATTTCATCACCAGATTCTGCCATGGAATAGTAATAGTAATGCTCTGCTTCCTTTCACAATCACAGGCTTTGTGTTATTTCTGTATTTGTGTTGAAGAAGATTCAATTGCTTACAAATTACAGTAAAAATGGTGTTAAGAAAGGGGCAAAATGTGGAGGTTATGGTAAAATCCGATGAACCGTTTTGGTGGCGTCCGGGTCGAATTCTTTCGGGAAATAGCTGTATGTGTCGTATACAATATTGCAGTTGTTCTAACCCTGATAACGGACATGTTGAGATGGTGTCGACAAAGGTTGTCAGGCCGTGCCCTCCGGTGGGGCAAGGCGGTGAGAATTTCAACGCCGGAGATGTCGTGGAGGTGTTTTACGACGATATTTGGATGGCCGGTAAAGTTTTGAAAGTTGTCGAAAAGAAAAGAAGACAATGGATGGTAAGGCTCCCGGGATGCACGCGTATGCGCGAAGCAATCGTTGATCGATCTCAAATTAGGATGAGAAGTATTCGGCGCGACGGAAAATGGATTACTCCGAATGCAAAGGTAGCATTTTGATTTTCGTCGTTTTTGCTTTTTGTATCGGAGTTTTTATTACAATCGCAATCGATAATTGTGTCTGTAGAGTTTCATTGTCTCCACGAGATCGCTAAAGTGGATGTCTCCCTACGGCTCGTCGATCATCGAAGCGAGCAATCGACATGTCCAAAAGCTACAAGCAATCGAGAAAGACGACCGGAGAACAGCTAGAAAAATCTTTTGCGATAATTCAGACAGCGATGGCGCCTCCGTTGGTAGCTGTAGTGTCGCCGATCGTAATCGAGAAAATTCTTACGTTCCATTTACACCCCAGGCTCGGCGAGAAAGCGACGGCGCTTGTAGCGACACGGAGTCGTGCAGCAATCCGATTGCATCGTTTAGGTTCAAGGAGGACGTGGAAGTGAATGTCCGTTTGTTAGAAATCGATGCTTATCGTAGAACGCTTGAAGCGTTGTATGCTTTGGGGCCGTTGAGCTGGGAACGGGAAAAGTTGTTGACGGATCTTCGGATTTTTCTCGGCATATCGAACGACGAACATATGGCGGAGCTGAGGCACCTCAGATCGGAGAATGATCGGAAACATTTTCGATCGTTTGCTCGGTGAGAAAGATGATCATTTTTGGAAAGTTTAGACTTTGCTTTGCTTGTAGGAATTAACATTTTGACAGATTTTTTTTGCTTTAGGGTGTGTTTGTTCGGGATTGGATTTTAAATATACTATTCATCCTTTTTTTTTTTTTCAAAAACATCAAATAAAACACCTATTTTTTATTTTTTATATTATATTAATATTGATTTTACGTTGAAAACATCACATCAACACCTGTTTATATCATATCATACAACTATTCAAATTCAATATTTTTAATATTCAAATTTCAACTCAAAATCCAAACCCCCAAATAAACACACCCAAGAGTATTAAATCAAATAATTCTTTGTCCCTATTTTCTATTTTCGTTCGTCCAACGTAATTTTTGAAATATAATTATACACTTTAATTACATTTTAAATTTTAAATTTTATAAATTTTTTAATCTTAATTTTAATCTATAATTATTTTTACTAATACATTTACTTAATAATTATATTTTACCTAAATTCTAGTATCTACTGTAATAATCTCATATTACATGGAATAGTGGAAATATTTATTTTTTTATATTACATGCTCAAAATTAATTTTGCAATAAAAAATATCTTGTTATATCGTAACACTGACATAAGCTCTTTGATTTTTTTAGTTTTTTTTTCTTTTTAATTAAACAAATGAACAATTTTCAACGAGTATACATAAGCTTCTTATGCAAAATATTGTTTGATATTTTGATTATTTTTCTAAAAAGAATTATTTTTATTTTTATTTATATAAAATACTCCTATTTTATTTCAAAATTATCTAATGCCTCTTTGAATTAAACGCGCGCAAAGTAAAATTAATTTTTCGGTACAAGACCATCTCTAACATTGTTTATTTTGCAATTCATTCAATATATTTTTCTTTTATACTCCAGAGTCGTCCTGAAACTATAGTCTTGGTGGTATTGGATACGGAATTTAAGAAATATTAATATTATATTGATAATGGATAAAAAAAATATAGATAAAAATTTTTTTTGCCCTTGTGAGTATATTAGTGTAAAAAATAGTGACAATTGTGTAATAATACTGTAAAAGTAATGATACTTTTACAGTGATATGGTTATTTACGGAAATAAGACTATTGTTATGGGACGGACAAAAATAATAAATAGGATTATTGTATTGAGAGGGAAGGACTATTATTTTATATAAATTTTTATATTTATAAATTACATCCTAACTTTAATTAATTTTACATTATAATCCATATACATATAATTTATATTTTATTTAAAATAATTAATAACTATTAAAAATAAAATAATTTTAAAAAATAATTAAATGCTACTAAGATAAATATGATATAAAATCATACATTATTTTTTAAAAAAATAAAATAAAATTTTATATCATTTTCCAAAAAATAAAATTATACATCACTTTTAAAAACTAAAATTATACATTATTTTTTAAAAAAGTAAAATTATATATAAATTTTTAAAATATAAAATTATATATGGTCTTTCTAAAAAATAATATACTCCAAAAAAATAATAAAATTACACAATATACCCAAAAAAAAAAATAATAATAATAATAAAAACAAAGTGTTAAACAGTATTTTTATTAAGAAGGCTATTACGAATGTCAAAGTTCAAACTAAACACAACTTTTCTAATTTTTTTTTTTAAAAAAATAGACAATGTCTTAAATAAAATTAAAGTGCAAATACACGACGAATTTAATTTAAATAAAAAATATTTTAAAAAGGTAAACCCATAAAAATTATGAATTGGCAATCCCAATTATAATTAATTTATTCACAACACCAGTTTTTAAGTGGTTGCTTACTCACAATTCCAGTTGGAGTGGTGTAACAAGATTGGCTAGAATTGTAATAATGTCAATTATTTATTGCAATTTGCAACCACTTCCTTTTCTTATTAACAATAATCAGTAATATATTTATTTGCTTTTTGCACGGAGTTTTAGGGATAAAATAAAAATAAAGGTAAAAATACTAAATTAACCATATTAATATTATATGATATAAAGGTAATGATATTTGTGTAATATATTGTAAATTGGAAGGGTATTTGTAATGTTAAGTAGACAGTACAATTACGAAAAAAAAAAAGAAAAGAAATGAATATTTTGTTATGGAACGGACCAAAATAGAAAAATAGATAGATTGTTAAGGAATAGAAAGAGTATTTTTTTTTTTTTTGTTTATGATTAAATTCATATATAATCTATTTATAATAAAATATCTTATTTACTCACAATTTTATTGCTTTTATTCGAACTATTTTTTATCTGCTATATTACTTTTTATCAACTTCATAGTATATTTTTTATAATATTTTTATTTTATGTTGGACACGAGATTTAAGAAATATTGATAATATATTGGTATTTGGTCAAAAGTAAGGATAAATAACTTTTTTGCCCTTGTAAGTATATTAGTGTAAAAAGTAGTGGCAATTGTGTAATAATAATGAAAAAGTAGGGATAGTTTTATGATGATATGGTTATTTATGGAAATGAAACTATTGTTTTGAGACGGACAAAATTGATAAACAAGACTATTGTATTGAGACGGATGGAGTATATTATTTTAATATTTTTTTTTTCTTATCCAATTAAATCTACGTGCATTTCTAGATAAATGAAATAATATACTCTCTCTGTCCCGGATATTTTGTCCGCTTTACTATAGATACAGAAATTTAGGAGGGGTATAATTAGTAAATAATTAAAAATGTATTAGTGAAAATAATTCTCGTATAATAAAAATAATTATATATTAAGATTAAGATAACTGATTTAGTATAATTAAAATTAAAATTAAAAAAATTATGAATTAAATTATAATTCTTTTCTGAAAAAAAAGTGACAAAATAAATTAGACGGACGAAAATGAAAAAGTGATCATAAGAAATGAGATGAAAAGAGTACTAGATAACACATGCCGTGTACTTATAATTATGTAGTATCAATTCATATGCTTACTTGCTTACATAAAATAGAAATGTATTTTTTTTTAATGTTAAATATGAAAAAAATTATATTAATAATATAAAAAATAATAGTTTTTAATAAATTATTATTATTATTTTTAAATAGATAAATATATATTGTATTTTTAAATAATATTTATAAAAAATCATTTCATTAAAAAAATGTTAATAAAGCCTATCTATAATATATTATACAATTATAAAATTAAAATGAATAATATTTTTATTGTATTTAATTAAATATAAAATAATATAAATTTTAATACAAATATTATTTGAAACAAACTAATCACACATCAAAATAAAATTACTTACTTTTAATTAGTATATTATTATACCAAATCTTAATCTTTTAAAATAAATAAATTTATTTAATTGAATGAAATAATAATATTATTCAATATAATCACCTAATACATATATATATATATATTGGATTATGTAGATTATAACCATAAACTATCAATTCATAATAATACGCATTGGGCTTTATTAACACACATGTGCCCGACTCAATTGTGTCGCATACATACATTGCTGGTTACCAACCTCTATTTGCCGCCCTACACTTTCATATTTCTTATACTTTTCTTTCCAATTTTTTTACTTTAAAGCTATTTATATATATAGATTTTCTTTCTTTCCTATCTTGTTCACAATTTTTGTCCGTCCCAAACACAAGGGCAATTATCTTTTATCCCTACTTTTTATCCACTATTAATATAATATCAATATTTCTTAGATGTCATGCCTTAGATGTCATGCCTTAGATGTCATGCAGCTAGTATAAAAATAGCGGCAGAAAACATTGTATATACTTATATTAATATAATACAAATACAGCACATCAACAAAATAGCATTCATTACAAGTTTGTACACATATAGCAATTCATATAATACAAATCTCATAAGCAATAGTTAATTTTAGACATATTTGTATACAATCCACTTATTATTATTAAAAAACAGTATATATCTTTATTATACACAACATATGTTGTGTGTAATACTAGTGTACGTTATTTGTATATATATAACACGTGCTGATAAAAAAAAAAAAACCAGCATGGCTAAATCAGCTTTTGTTAATTTTGTTATGACCATAAAGAATACCACAGCACAGGAGAAAGGTGTAAATAAGCACTCCAAATCAAAACTCTAACTTACCATTAATAATGCTACGTTTCGTCGTTTCATCTTTATTTTATTTAATTTTTCTAAAAAATAAAATTAAGGAAATGTTTATGATCGATAGCACCAAGTACATCATTAATCAAAGGAAGAAAACGACAAACAAAGAGCTGTGAATCAAAAACCACCTGAACACGGAGAGAGAGATAATTCGCTTGTTTGCCCAAAGACATAAAAATCACAATCCCATTGATGTGTCTACATATATATATATAAATGACGACTAGTAGACCATCCCTCAAACTTCAGAATACCCTAAGCTACGCAAGAAGAATCGGGACACCCATCATATGAAAAACATTAAAAAAGAACCTCCCATTTTCACTCAAATACCTCGTCATCGTCATCCGGGAGTGGCTGACTAGCAGCTGCAGCGAGCTCCGCCTCATGTCTGCAAAGCAAAGTCAACAACAGATAAGTTATTCACCAGTTAATGGCGCGCTGATGATTTACATATATAAAGGGGAGAGGGATTTACTGTTGTTGCGCAGCCAAATCGATTTGCACTTCTGGCGGGGCAAGAGCAGGAGACTCGACAAAGTGCAGATTAGGATCCCTAATAAGAAAAGAACACATTAGCTTCATCGAGGTGACAGTAATGCTTCTTAAAGTATAATAATCAAAGTGTTTGTAAATACCCGGCAAGTTTCCGGGCGAGGTACAGGAACGGCTTCTCAAAGTTGTAGTTGCTCTTGGCAGATATTTCGTAGTACTGGAGGTTCTTCTTCCTATGGAATGTGACCTGCTTCGCCTTCACCTGCCTGTTCTTGACATCAACCTTGTTCCCGCAGAGGACAATAGGGATATTTTCGCAGACGCTGAAATACAAAGACGAATAATATTAGAACTACACGACTAACAACAGCTTATGTCTGCCACCAAAATAGAAACTGATTTATTACCGGCAAAGATCCCGATGCCATGTCGGAACATTCTTGTAAGTCAACCTTGCCGTCACATCAAACATGATGATTGCACATTGTCCATGGATACTGCAATAGTTTGACATCAGTATCGACAAAATAACAAATAGATCAATCCAAATGAGCGAAAATTAGGTTTAGGAAAATTCTAGCAAGTTATGCATACTATGATTTATGGTCTTTGCAGTTTTCATAAACAATGAAATTGAAAATAAGTGAGTTCTAATTTACTTACTAGTAGCCATCCCTAAGGCCACCAAATTTTTCCTGGCCAGCAGTGTCCCAGCAATAAAATCGGATTTTACCACAGTTTGTGAAGAAGTCTAGAGGATGAACCTCCACACCAATAGTAGCTGCAAAATCACACCATAAGAATTTAAACAATAGAACAGGAAATATATATATCAATGAAAACATAAAAGGTTTAGATGGTCTCACGCTCATATTTCTTCTCGAATTCTCCAGTGAGATGTCTCTTAACAAATGTAGTTTTTCCTACAAATTGAAAAAAAATAGATTAAGTCAATTATTTCGAAGCAATAGAATCAATAAGAGCATCATTGTCTTGATAAACAAAAATCTTCAGAATCCAAAAGTATGCAAGATAATATACAAATTTCGAACTCCTAGCCAGTATAATCAAATGAGAAACAATCGGCATAAACCACCAACAAAACGCTCTCGCCAGTTCTAATCCCAAATCAAAGCTCCAAAAAAATTACAAAAGAACAACGAAATGCACTGACGCAAAATAAACGCAAAATTAAAACATCCATCACAATGAAGAATGCAACAAAACAAGTGGAACGACAATTCAGAAAGCAAAGAACCGCAAAAGACCTAACCAATCAAATAAACAAAAAACCAAATCCATAAGCTTAGATTTTAAATATACACACGCAAAAAAAACATACCAGTGCCACCATCGCCAACAAGTACAAGCTTGAAGCTCGGGTAATCCACAGTCTGTTGATTCGGCAACGCCTGAAGATCCAAAGCAAACCAAAACAAGAAAAGTGAAAACAAAAAACAAATCAACCAAAACAACACAATAACAAGCAGAAACAAACACCGCAAAAAAACGAATCGCAGAATTACCATTAGATCTTCGCTCCTCCAATGCAGAGAAGACGAAAACACAGGATTACAGAAGGCAAAAACTGCGAGGCTTCGGCGGAGAGAGCTGCGATGCGTATTATATATATATGTGAGTGTGTGTGTGATTCAAAAGCCCTAAAACGAGTTGCGTAGGATTTGCTGCTGGGGACTTTTTTGAATATGTAGCTTTAATCTGACGCGAAAATCTCAGCCGTCCGATTCTAAACTGAACGGCATCACGTGTTCCTCACGTGTACGCGGCGGATGCAGCCACTTATTAATTTGTAAAAAAAAAATAAAACAAAACAAAATGTGAATAAAAGCAGGATGCTTTCTAGAATGATCCTCGATTTTTATATTTCTTTAATTATAAATGTTTACAACTTTCAAAACAAAATGCCCGTCTAGCTCAGTCGGTAGAGCGCAAGGCTCTTAACCTTGTGGTCGTGGGTTCGAGCCCCACGGTGGGCGCTTCTCTTTTCGTTTTTTAAATTTTTATAAAAATATTCGATTCGATTCAATAGTATTTATCTTACTATTCAACATTTTTAGCTTATTACAAAACTCCGATAGATTTTTCCGAAATAACGTGCGAGACATGCTCGGCCGGGTCGAGTTCTTGGAGATATCGAGCCGGGAACACCTTCGGGAGAAGGTGTAGTCTTACGACGATCAGCACAAAAAACAACACCGGGAACAATATCCCGAGATACGGAATCCACGTAACTCCGAAGCATAGCATGAGATACAAACCCTGCCCGATCGTGAATCCCGCAATGTGTTTATATGGCACGGACCGCGCATACGATGCGTGGAAGCCGTGTAAGACTCTGCACATCATCAAATCGCAGAAGAAATCGATATCATATAAAACCGTAAAATGTTGTCGTCGATGGCAAAGAATCGGGAGGGTAAGGCTCACTTTCGACGTAGATCTCCGGGAACAAAAAGAAGTCGAACGCGCTCCCATAACTGGTTCCCCGGGAGGCTATCGATCGCCATGTACGCAAAGTATCCCCACAAAACGGAGCTCGGAATCATCTTGATCACCGGCATCGCCGCCATGGCAAGCCCGACGAGCAAAGACTGCAGCAAATTAGTAACGCGTTGTTCGCTCACACGGACCGGCAAGTAGAGGTCGATGCATCTTTCATAATCGATTGCGCTCACGGCGTGATTTTCGTTCCCGTAGCCCGATATAGCTTCCTTCAAATCCTCAAAATCTTCGTCTTTCGAATCGTCGTCGATCTTGACAAATGCCCGCCGCATTCGTTCGTAGATCTCCGACGGCGTCGCATTCGCGTTCGTTCCCTCCTTCACGCACTCCGCCATTTTCCTCCGCATCGACTGCAGATAATTACGACGACAATTGTCAAAAACATTCGAATACATGACGGGTGCGAGGAGTTTCCTCGGGACTACGGTTCCAAACCTGCCTCTTGAGCGCGGCGAGGCTCTTCGTATGCATTGGCGACTGCGGAAGGACACCGTTCGACGGAGGAAGCCCGAGCAATCCGCAAAGCAAAGTCTGAAACGTTAAAATGTCGAAGATGAGAACAGATTGTTGGATTCATAAAGTTTTAACTTAAATTCCCCAACAACGGTACCAAAATCCCGAGTAAAAAAACGTCGTAGTGATACGACGACGGTTTCTTGAGATTGAACTCCTTCTTCTGCACCAGCTGCGACGCTACGCTGTGATCGAAAAAGTACAGTCCGGCGATCATCAGCGCCGGAACGAACGCTCCAAAAACATACCCCGCCGGTACCTTTCCCATGTCCTGCAATTTCATCGACACGATAACATAAAATTGAACAGTCTAATCGATCTACTTCGAGCGTCAACGACGCCAGACCTTAATCACGGTCCAATGGCGCAACGATGCCGGCTCCCAAGGAAGAGGATAGACGAGGCGTCTGGGAACACCGCCGGGAACTTTTCCAGGAACGGCGTAGGACAACGCAGTCCATACCACGATCATCAGAGCGACACCATAGTCGGCGACGAAACTCCTGATCCAGCCTGAATTTGCAAAATTCAACGAGTCATATAGCGAAACACGGCGCAAAGTTTATGTCTTTGATAAATTCGCGGCACCAAACCTGCGCCATAGTGCCACGATCGAGCTTTCCGGCTAGTCAGGGCGGTTATAAGCAACCCGAAAGAGAATATAACCGCGAGAAGGCCATTGACATAGAGCCACTGGAATTCGATCCGCACCTCGGCTGCATCGACGCTTTCTGGAACTCGGAATTCGCTTACGACGCCCTGCGATCAATCGAGAAATCAATCGAAATACTAAAACGACGAGCATAAGGCGTTGAAAGAGTTCGAATTGTCATTACCTTGATCGCTTCTTGAATGAAAAGAATGGTGATCAACATGCCGAAGACTTCGCCGGAAGCTCTCGTGAATCGAGTGATGACGGCGCAAGCGCCGAATGTGGCGAGAAGGAACAGCAACAGGGCTGTCCAAACACATACCCTGTTTTATCGATCAATAAAAAACACGACAATTGTCATAAACATCGAATAAACTACTAAATGAAAAAGATCATTTCCCACTACCATCCCGTCCACGGTAAGAACATCTCCTCGCCGAGGCCCTTCTCAGCGAATTCATACAAGTATCGGTACATTATAATCGTCGGCTCCGCGACCCCTAAAATCAGCAGCGGCTGGCCACCGAAGATCGCGTGGATAATCCCGCATAGCGTAGTCGAAGCAAGCGTCTCGGACGTGCCCAAAATCCCATCTAAAAAAAGAAAAAAACGTAATAAGCCGATCACAACATGCATGCAACACGTAATCGTGTTCGATCAAATCGAATGCTTACGCGTCGAACGGCTTAATTGCTCGCCGAAGGCGATCACGGGGAGCGCCGAGGCGAAGAAAATATACGTCGTCGGGGCAATGATCCTAAAAAAAAATAAAAAAAAATCAAGCAATCCATTTGTAAGTGACAATTAATGACAAGATCAGCTTCAGATTATCGCATCTTTTTTTAAAAAAAAAAAAATAATTGTAAGAACGCGCCTCGATCCCGATTCGAGGGCGTCGAGCCAATCTTTCTTGTAGCAAGCTAGCCTTGCTCTAAGATCATTCTTAACTCCCTTGAATGGATCCCTCAAGTGTTCCATGGCATATGATGATTTGCTGCAATCAAGAAACATAAAAGTTCGATCTTTATTTGGTGTTCTTGAAAATTTTCTTGATTAATTGTTCAAATAATTCATAGAACCAAAGTCTAACAAACCTGGCCATGAAGAAAGATTGAAAGAAATATTGAAGCACAATCAATAATGCATGAGGTTTACATATATATCCAGGCACTGTAAAAAAAAAAAAAGGATTGCAGTAGGGTGGGTGGGTAGGGGGGGGGGGGGGGGTAGGGAGGAGATAGAGAATCTGGTGTACCAAAAAAACGTGGCAGTGGCAACTTTTTTTTTTATTATGTTTTTTTACTACAGTTTTGGGGAATCTGCAAATCTTATTTTTACAAAATACAGAAACATAGGTTGTTGCTTTTTACCCTTTAGGTGAAAGTCTCTGAATGTTGAGTCCTGTGTTGTGTAGAGAAATTTACTTTTTTTTTTTTTTTTACTTGAGAACTAATTCAATAAAAATATTCCATTCCATTGCACTACAGGATAAAATTTGGGTGTGAATTATTGTGTTTTGATTTGATTTGATTTTATTTTTTCTTTCTTAGTTAAAATTTTGAAGGAAAAAAAATAATGGCTATTAACCATAAATTACAATATAAGTTAAAATTAAAGGAAAGAGCCATATATATGTATGTATATTGGATGAACTTGTCAACATAACTAAGACGAAAAATAATGAGGATTTTATAAAGTAAAATGAAATTAATTAAATAAATGTGTGTAGTATATTATATTGTTATTTTAGATAACTACTATTTTCGAGATGATTATTTTAATATATAAAATATGATTAATTTGTTTATAAACTATTAATTTTACATGTTTATTATAAAAGTAAACAATTATATATAACTAAAATTACCATTCCCTATCAATTTTACATAAATATTTTCATAACTAATAACGAAAATACTATGAGTAATAAAAAGAAAACACTCTTTGTGGGTGTGTTTGGTTGTCAGATTTGATTTTAGTATTAAAATTTTAAATTTTAATCCTATCAAAAATCTATTAAATCAAATATGTATTTTTTATTTACTATATTATATTACATGATCATTTTTACATTAGTTCGTTTGCAAGATTTTGCAAAATTCTTACTATTCATCCAATTTTTTTTCCCAAAAAGCATCAAATCAAACACTTATTTTTCATTTTTTATATTATATTAAAAATTAATTTTACATTCAAAACATCACATCAACCCCTATTTATATCACATCATACAACTATTCAAATTCAAAATTTTTACTATTCAAATTTCAACTCAAAATTCAAACCCCTAAACAAACACACCCTAAATATATCACATCAATATATGTTTATATCATATCATACTTTGAATGTGTTTCATCTTTTTGAATTTTCATTAATGCAAAAACAATAGATAAATTAACCGTCCATAACATAGGAACATACAACATGCGACATAAGAATAATCTACTGGGTGTGTTTGTTTGGGGTTTGGATTTTGAGTTTGGATATGAATAGTAAAAATTTTGAATTTGAATAGTTGTATGATGTGATATAAATATGTGATGATGTGATGTTTTGAATGTAAAATTGATTTTTAGTATAATATAATAAATAAAAAATAGGTGTTTGATTTGATGTTTTTGGGGAGAAAATTTTGGATAAACAGTGGGATTTTGTCAAAATTCATCAAACGAACACACCCTATATAGATCACAAACAACACATTATATTAACATAATATAATTGCATAAATAATGATAATACAGTACGAGTATAATATATGAACAAACATATGATATGATATCCCACAACATATGTTACAACTGATTTCAGTACAAGAAATATATTCATACAATACACTTATATCTTTTTATTTATTACAAAATATGTTACTCCCTCTGTCTCGTAACAAAGTATCCATTTTTTTCATTTTAGTCCGTCCCATAACAAAGTATTCATTTCTTTTTTTTTAGTAACTGTACTATGTACCCAACATTACAAATACACTTACAGCTTACAATATATTACACAAATGCAATTACATTTATATCACACATACTAATAAGGTTATTTTAGTCATTTCTATTTTATTCCTACTATATCCCAATATATCTTCTAATATTTCTAAAACTACGTGCAAAAAACAAATGAATATTTACTTCTGAGACGGAATGAGTATTTTAAATAAAAATGTATTGTATTTGTTTGTTTTATATGTATTGACACAAGAAAAAATTTGTACTCCCTCTGTTCTATATCTATATATCCATTTGCTCTTCGCACGGAGTTTTAGAAATATTAGTATTATATTGGGATAAAATAGAAATAAAGGTAAAAAGACTAAATTTAACTCTATTAGTACTGTATGATATAAATGTAATAACATTTGTGTAATATATTGTAAATTTGAAGAGTATTTGTAATGTTAGGCAGATATTACAATTATTAAAAAAAATGAATACTTTATTATGGGACGGACCAAAATGAAAAAAAATGGATAAATTGTTAGGGGTTGAGAGAGTATAATAAACACCGTAATCATGTTCAAGATTTGATGAATATTTATTTGTCATATTTATGTCATATTTAAACTAAAATATTGTTATTGTGGGAGGTAATAATGACTACCTTACAATCAGGTAAATTTGGCAATTTCCTTAAAATAAAATCAAAGTATAGTAGGGTGTGTTTGTCTTGTGTTTTACTTTGAAAAAAAAAAAAAATTATATGAAGCATAAAATTTTGTATAAATAATTTAAAAATAATTAGTGTGTGATTTTTTGAAAAAATATGTTGAAAAGATTTGTCAAAGCATAATTTATTTTTTTTCTAATTGAAAATAAATAAAATCCAGATATGATGGGGAGAATATTTGCAAAAAAAAATTGTTTGCTAATGTTTTAACTTTTTTATTTTTAGAATAATAAAATTTTAAATCGAAATAATCGGTATATCACCTGACTTGATCTTTGTGTTGATTAGGTTATAAATGGAACCCTTTTGTTGGGTTACAGATGATTGTTTCATAACAAATAATTTTTTTTTTATTTTTAATAAATTTATTTATATTAAATATATTTAATAAATATAATTTAATTACATTTTTAACTTTTTTACCCATAAATTTGGCCAAAATCATTTTTACTAAACAAATATTTTTATTTATATTAAATTTTTTTTATTTTTTATAAAACTAGTTTAAGTTAATTATAAATAAATAAATAAATATTTTTATTTATTTTTAATATATAAAATTTTATTATCTTGTAAATGTCTATATTATATATATTTTATTGAGAAATAACGTTAAAAATATTTAAACACATGTTATATTTTTTAAAATTATATATTAATATATATTTTTAAAATATTAAAAATATTTCTTATATAAAAAATTATAAAATAATATTACAACTTATTATTAATGCCTTACTAATTTACACTACCTAAATAATCGTGCGAACAAATAGGTCATTTGTTCCGAAACAAAAAAAGTATTAATTTGAATCAATCAACAATCTAACCGTTATCACGAACTCACATATTTTTTGTTTATTTATTATAAACCTACAACAAATGTACGTTATAATTTAATAATTTTTTCGTCCGTCTTTAATAGTCACATTTACCTCTTGCATAATTGCACTTAACATTAAAAATATTTTTATATTTGTATAATTTTTGTCACAAATATTATTCTATTAGTATTATAAAACACCAATGAAAGTATTTTTATAATTTTTTTTAATTTGTACTATATTTTGCTATAATAATTAATATTCAAAGATCAACGTGTAAAAAATAAATGAGACAATTAGAGTCGGACAGAGATAGTAATATATTTTGTATACTTTAATTAATATAACCATATTATTCAAGTATTTTGGTTGTTTGATATGTTTTTGTTACGTTGATATATTTATTACTCCCTCCGTCCCATGTAATATGGGTGTATTACCGTAGACACGATAATTTAGGTAAAGTATAATTAGTAAGTAATTAAGAAATATATTAGTAAAAATAATTATTATTTAGTAAAAATAATTATAGATTAAAATTAAGATAACTAAATAGTTTAATTAAGATTAAAAAAAATTTAAATTTTAAATTTTAAAATATGATTAAAGTGTATAATTAATTTTTTAAAAAGGGAAAGGACAAATTATGCGGGACAAAACGAAAATAGAAAATAGAGACAAATTATGTGGGACAGACGAAAATAAAAAATAAGGACAAATTATGTGGGACAGAAGAAGTTGTATTTAAGATTATTATTTTAAGAATAAAAAAAACATTACATCGATTGTTATTCCATTATAAAAGTTTAATATATTTACCTTATTTTAATCGTATCAAAAGAGCTTGTTTGGTTTCAATTCAAAATTAATTCTTTTTAAAATTATAAATTAAAAAGTATTTTAATGTAAAATTTCATAAAAAAATAAAATAATATATTTTATTAAAAATAATCTTAATTAAATTTATTTTATTTTTTTATTTTTTAAAAATAAGCACGCTCAATTCAAAATAAATTTGTAATATTTCCAAATGAAAAAATACTAGGCAAACATAAATGATACTTGTCAATCAGTCCATCCACCACAACACAGAATCCTATCCATGCATTAATTATCAAATCTGAAATATAAACAAATGATAAAACATTTGATAAAAAATATTTCTTCCTTTTTATCATGACACAATATTTAAAATAATAATAATTAATTAATTAATAATAATAAATTATAATATTATTTTATTATTTTTTATATAGTTATTATATTGATAATTTTAAAATAATTTTAATATATATAAAATTAAAAATTAAAATATTATTTAAATATTTTGAAAATTATATGGTAATAAAAAACTATACCCCTATAAATATATATTATTTTATAAAAAATAAATTTTTCTATAATACAGAATAAAAAATACGATTTATTTATTTATGATTAATATAAACTAATTTTATAAAAAAAAATAAAGTTTTAAAT